ATTTCGCGATTTTTTGTATTTTATTTGGGATACACCAGTCCTTTATTGATGTAAATATTTTACAAGCATTGGTGCCTAATTTAATTATTTTAAGGGACGTAATTTTCAGCTTTATTCAAAGCAATTCAGATATTTTAGTATAAAAACAAATGCTCTCAGACAAAATTTTGTACAGGTGTCTGTAAAATATTATTTACTGAGACAAATATGAACTGCCTTAATATATTCATTGTGTGACTACTGTATTATTTGAAAAGTGAAAAAAAAATGTTTATGCAAATCAACTTAAGTAGTTATGATTGGAATGCATGTAAAGCATATGGCTAATTAGACTTGACTTTGCATACGACAATGGACAGATGTTGAATCTCCAGTGGAGAGAGACCAACAGTACTGTTGCCTCCAGAGAATCTACATATTCAAACACTGCAAACTTTGTTTCTGAAGCGAGTTTTTAAATTAGTATTATAAAAGCTCTAATAGCAACAAACAAATTCTTGTGTATTTTGATTTTCAAAATACATAGAGTTCGTCAAATACAGAATATACATTTTTGAGTACAATTTTCCTTTCAAAATGTGGATGCAAGCTTTTGCATTTTGTTTTGACAACGTTAGTCCAAACAGAATTCCTATTGGCTTCAGATTTTGATCAATAGTACTAATTCATAGGAGTGCTTATATCGATTATCTGACATGTTTTCTGTCAAGATTTTATTGGCAAGTTTGCAAATGTTTAGCAGACTGATCAGACTGTTGGCATTGAAACCCAGTCTAGTATTCCCTCGAGATTTGGAAGATGCATTACCAAGATCAGTGACCTTTGAATGTGCATCACTGATCAAATAGAAACTTTTGCATATTTTCACACAGGACATGTCATTCATACTAAAGGAGATTTTATACTAATGAATTATATGACCAAGTTTGATAAAGTTTGGAATAGAATTAGTAAAGTTATTGTGCACACATTAACAATTATTAACAAGTCATTGTCAATGACACGTCCCCGTTCCGTTCATATTTGAGTGACATATACATTCAAAGCAGATCATGACCGAAATGCACCTGCATAACACATTGTGCTAAATCTGAACAAAATCCATCCATGCATGACTGAGATCCGGTTCTGGAATTGTGAAAATACGTGATTTTGATGCATTTTCGGCCTTAAAATGGCCATCATTCCACTATTGTTAAGCAGATCATGAAACAAATGCACATATCTATTTGTGACATGATGTATCATGTGTGTGAAGTTTGAACTTTATCAATCCAGACACGTCTTGGATACGGATCCAGAACTGAATTCTTTAACAAAATGGCCGCCAGTCGGCCATTTCGAACTTGATCCGAAAAAAAAAAAGACGTGCATCAAGGTCCTATTATGTTTAATGTATGTACCAAATTTGAACAAAATCCGTCCATGCATAACTGAGATCCGGAATGGTGAAAATGTGCGATTTTGATGCATTTTCGGCCTTAAAATGGCCGCTATTCGGCTATCGTTAATCAGATCATGAAAAAAATGCATGTGCATATGTCCCATATAATGTGTGATGTATGAGTGAAGTTTGAACTTAATCGGTCCATGCCTGTTCGAGATACAGGTGATCACGGACGGACGCACACAGGGCAAAACACAAGTCCCAGTTTTTCGGACTGCGTCCGAACGGGGACTAACAACTACAGACATTTTCCCCATGTTAATATATACCTTTCTCTTCCATCTTTGATGATGTGGGCAAGCTAACAATTGCCATGACTGGGCAAGTCTTATCAGATCATTCAATCTACAATTGAATCAACATTTCCACTCACTAATGCCCATCTTTCAAACAGTCTTCATTTAAAGATTCTCCAGGGACAGAATAGATCAACTTCACACACTACATTGAAATGCTATGGTCTGTGTTCACTCAGTGATGTCATGAACATGCAAGTAGCTGTACAAAACGAGTTTCATGAAGCACCTAATCAGGTATACAAAACATGGCTGACACTATTTCAACACTGTTCCAATTCCCAAAGCATGTTCAAAGGCCTATAATCTGGGCATTTTGATGAAACTAGGCATTTTCATAGGCACTTTAAGTGATTTGCATTCAATCCAAATTAATTATAATTTACATGCATAACAAGTATTGTATGTAATTGGGAGCTAGCCAAGATTGATTAATGAATAGACGCAATATGGCTTTTATAACTTTATTTTGTATTTGTCTTTCAGCTCAAAAACAAATTACAGCACATCTTTAGATCCTTGATGGATACAGCATCTGGAAAAACAAAAAAAAACATATTCACAAAAGTTTGAATTTTATATTGAAACAAGCAAACAAAAATGTTGATACTAACGAATAGTCATTGGTGCTATTGAGGGGTCAAATAAGTGCACACACTTTTGTTTCAATGCATCAGAATTTAGCTTGTAACAATCTTCGAGGAAAAATACAAAAATGAAAAGTGGAACTAAATTATATTAGTTTATGAACATAAGCAATTGTGGAGGTCCAGCAAAAATGCAGCATCTAAATCCTTCTGAAATATTTTCATTTGATTTTTTCACCACTTACAGCCGTTCTGAGAATTATTCGGACAGTCAGTTAGCAAAATGACTTGCAACTTTGCAAAACATTTTGGTCTTTGCCCAATCTAGACTTGTCAGCGCCACTTGAGTGACGGGCGCGTGGTTTGAGATTACCATTTCATAGGGATTGTCGGCTTGGTGAATTGCAAGTATTATCTAGCGTGCGTTTACAGCAACCATTCTTTATTTTTTATAATTATATTGTAATTATTTTCAGTAATTTTGAAAATCACAAGTTGGGTGTTGCTTAAATCTGACGAAAAATGTCAACCCCTCGCTCATTTTTGTCAGTTGTACCTGTTACAAAAATGGACTAGACATAATAGCGGTCGTTATAACCAGTCATTTTCAAACTGCAGTTGAAAATGTGATTCGATCAAGGAAGGCACTTTTGATTTGACAAAGTCCATCAAACCGTTATAATCAAGTTTTCCGTCCATGTATCCCTGACGTACTCTCCCAGCTCGGTATAAAATCTGAATTTGATACATAATGCACCAGTAATGTAAAAACAACTTTTAGTTTGGTCCAAAACTGTCGCGAAACTGCAGCGCGTCCCACTAAGAAACTTTACTTTGAGCCTTCCCACCAACGACGAGTTCATTAACACTCGAGAGTTGTTTTGTAAATTGCGCTCTGTCAGGTGGACTCAGATGGTTATAACAGTTTAAAATAACACTTTGAATGCATATACAACACATAACGTGTTAATATATTGGTAACCAACGCGTATCGTTTTGAAAAAGCGTTTTACTCGCATCTTGCAAGATAATGGAATGATTCCAATTGTGGGCGTGCCGATACAACAGCGCCGTCAAGTCTAGATTGGAAAAGACCTAAGTGTTTTGCAAAGTTCCAAGATAGATTGCGAACTCACTGCCCGAATAATTCTCAGAATGGCTGTAACACATTACTTGGGGATGCCATTACATAGTCATTTGGATGGCTTGGGTTACAATATTATTTATGCAAGCTGTCATAAAGCTGACATGATTAGCAATAAATTGTATAAAATATAGAATATGGTTTTTATGAAATGATCCCAAATAACATCAATAATACTGGAGACTTACAATTCTAATTCTTTTTCCCATAGCTTTTGATGGCAAGTTTCTCCTGAATTTGGCCCTTACAGCACCGCTTTTGCCATGTGCCCTGGTAACTTTCCCCCAGATTACACGAACATTTGTGGGTTTTTCTCTGCCAGGTGTTTTCGTCTTACTGCAATGAAAGTTGAAAATGTGTCATTACAGCCCTCTAAATTGTGACCATTTTGGTCACCATTCTGAACAAATTTAAGTGAATGGCGATTAAACAAATCATCTACCAAAAATCTGGCTGGCAACAAAACTTTGTTAACCTAAAACTTACTATACAACACTACAATCCACAGTTCAACCCATGTATTTTTTATTTGTTATAACATACAACTATCGCTGAATATTTGGCAATTTCCAGTGATATAAACAATGCAGTTTGCAGCAGAATTGTGATTGAAAGTGAACTTTATCTCAATTAATCAGGGTTGGGCAATACAATACATTCTGTCAGGTCAGTCTGCGCATGCAAGTTTTCATGGTAATGTATGGAAGTCATGAAGACAGCCAATCAGTGATGATACAAAATTCTCTGAATGGTTGGATTCCAAGCCCTTCCAAAGGTGCTTTGACACAAATTTGCAATACTGTGCACATTGGCAATATTCACATTAACTTATTTATTTTCATAATATTTGCCATGTCAACATCCAACAAATCTACACAGCAAAAATCAAGTAAAACAGCTGAAGGTTTTTTGATAAATCTTCCACAAACAGAGATAACAGACACACTACCTTGTCATAGTTTATACCAGACTAACTAACTAGAAGTAATGTCAGTGAAAACTACCTGGTTGTGTGACCAATTATTATTCAACTTACTTTTTTGCCTTGTATACATATGCACATTTCTTTCCCAAATAAAATTCAGTTTCCTTCCTTGTTGTGACTCCCTCTATTCGTAGAAGAGATGTGTTTTCACGTTGGTTTTTTAAACCACGTTTGTAACCAGTAAAGACTGCTTTCGAATAAAGCCTGAAAAATGTATTCATAATTACACAAACAAATAAGCAAACTGATGGTTGAAATAGTTCTGCTATATGGTATGATCCTTACCTAAGTTCATCACCTAAATCAGTCATATCAAATTTATAGAAAAGCTACAAGGACATTTTATGAGCCAGTGCTCAATATTAGAGGTGGTCATGCTTCAGTCTCAACAGATTATTTGCATATTACCAGTTAACAATCATGTGTCTGTCTCAAAGTTGCATTGTGCTTGATTTATCATGACTTGCCGTGTAAAACTTTTTGTGGGATAGTTAAGTATGATTGTATATTGTTCAAGTTAAGTTTCAATAACAACAAGTCATTGAAAATGACACAGTCCCCGTTAAATTTTTGAAAGTTCTCTTTGTGCTCGTCATATTAAAGTGGAGGGGTTGTCGTGAGTGTGTCCTTGAAACTTGAGTCCCAAGTGGCGTATACAACAGATTGTTTATTTACATCAAATTCAAACACGTATTGTGTGACGACCCCTCTGGTTTAAGACATAGCAAAGAAAAACATAGATCACAAGTGAAAGCATGTCCAAGTTATCACATTTTAAACCATTTTAAACCAAGATGGCCGCCAGTCGGCCATATTTGATGGAATTGCTTGGTATCCATTTATGACATGCTAAATATCAATGAAAATGATACATGGGTGACAGAGATATAATAGTAATATGGCCAAAAATAAAAACAGCCGTTATTCGGCCATCTTTGATCTGATTATGAAACAAAGTGACATGTATGATGCATGTGCTAAATACGAATGAAAATGATACATAAATCTTGGAAATATAGCAGTAAGGTCAAACAGTCAGATGGCTGTCAATCAGCCATCCTTGATCTGATTTTGAAACAAATACGACTCCGGACAGACGGACGGACAGACACTGAATTATAAGTCCCCGTTTTCTGACTTCGTCTGAACGGGGACTAATAACAGCACTGACAAAACAGCAACTGCTGCAGACTGATTCCAATTCCAAGTAGAAAGTAATGAAAAAAGTTGCGAGAAAGTTGCTATTGAACCAAACAGACCTCAGGTTCATGATGAGTCAAGATAATGACTTGGACACTGACCAAAGTTTGGACTACCAATGTTTTACCATGGACCGCCAAAACTAACAAAATCAAAATTCTAACTGTATGCCCCATCCCCAAATCAAAGAAAGCTTAGAAAGAACTCCTTTGTTGGTGATTAATAAGCAACAAGCAGCCTCTCGGCTGGGATAGCTCCATTGTTAGCAATGCACATTTCAATTAAAGAACAGAAGATATTGTTAAATCAAAGAAAGCTTAGAAAGAACTCCCGTGTGCTGAGAGTATTGAAGACACATTAAAAATTAATTAAAAATTACTTGTACCTGATATATTGATGGAAAAGCTGAAAACTAATTATGTAAATCAGGTAACAAATATGAATAGAACAGAACAAACAAATTATGAATTATTATGCTAATTAAAGAATTAATATGAACAAATTTTAACCCAAAATTAATCAGGCCTGACTATTGTTCTAGAGCATTTATGTACCAAATTTTATTCAAATGTGATGATCAGTAATTGAGATATCAGTGTTAATTAATTATGTTAATTAATAAGCATAAATATTCACCAAAAACTAATTGGGTTTCTGCATAGTTCTCTTTAAAAGTTTCATTAAAATCCAATTCGTGGTTCTTTATATATCAGTGGAACATTATGCAAATTAGGTAATTAATATCCAATTAAAACTAATCAGGTCTCTGCATAATCCTAGAAGATCTATGTAGCAAGTCTCATTGAAATATGATTACTACTTGATATATCAAAAGCTGAAAATTAATTAATTATGCAAATTAGGTAATTAATATGTACTCATATTACCCTAAAAACTATCAGGTCTGTGCAGTGTCCTATGACATTTATGTACCAAGTGTCATTGAAATGTGATTACTACTTGAAATATCAAAAGCTGAAAATTAATTAATTATGCAAATTAGATAATTAATATGTACTCATATTACCCTAAAAACTATCTGGTCTGTGCAGTGTCCTATGACATCTATGTACCAAGTTTTGAGATTATCAGTGTTAAAGCCAAAAATTGTTTAATCATG